GATTTTGAAAATACTCACTTTTATAAAGGTTGCGCTTTTGGCCCAAAACTTTAGGGAGGAGGGCTCTTGTTCGTAATTTTTCTTGGATAAAAACTTTGTTGCCGGGCTTTCTCAGACTAAAGTTTCAGGTTTTGTTGTATTTGTATACTTCAGCAGTAGAAAATCTATACATTGTACGTTTTCTAGACATTTCGGCTTTTTTACATTATCCTATTTAATTTTTTTATATTTTTTGTGGTCACCTGTCGTGCGTTCGGTTGTCTATGGGTTCAGTTGTCAGTGTGGTCACTTGTCTGTGGGTTCACTTGTCCGTGGGTTCACTTGTCCGTGGGTTCACTTGTCATGGGTTCGGTTGTCTTGGGTTCAGTTGTCGTAGGTTCACCTGTCGTGCGTTCAGTTGTCCGGTCACCAATTTCTTCATGAGTTTTCTTGTCTCTTCAACATCAACATTCTGAGTCTGTGAACATTTTGAAATAGTATTGAGATTTTACACTTTGAAGTTGTATTCAACTGTATTGAGATTTTCTTTAAAGTGTTCTATTAATGTTAATTTTAGTAATGTATTAATTTCTCTTCCTTGATTACCCAGGTGGGTTAACATTTCATTATGAACCTTATCAGGCCCTGTTGATTTTGCCGTTTTCTGTTCACTTTAGCTTTTTCAACAATAATTTTATCCGCATTTTCCTTTATTTCACAGTTTTCACTGCGGCTATTGTCTTCGCTTGTATTCATCTTCTCCGCCATTTTTTTAAAAACAGATATTATTTTTATATTTATGTCGTCATAATTTATGTGTAAGTGTGACGTAACAACTAATGATCTGTCTAAACAAGTCCATCTTGCCGCGATGCGTCTCGCCGCGCGAGCCTAGCTGTCCAGAAAGCTCTTACAGTTTATTAATAGAACGTGGGATGCCACTAAAACAATTTAAAAATTAAAATTTAAATCAAGAAAATAGATATCACAAACATGATTGACTGGTTTTTTTAAACGTTGAGATTCCATGTTTTGTCAATTTTTTTTTTACAGACGTCTTAATTTGTTAACGGAATTTTACGGACAGGCAATTTTACAACAAATCTTTATGGACTGTCCGTAAATTTACTGACGGTTGGCAACTCTGCTGGTAAGGGTGGAACAGCTACATGTTGATGAGGCTCTAATATCTATTGGGGGACGGCCATGCTTCCTACTAAGCCCTGCTTTACCCTCTTTTTATTAGGCTTTTGAAATCAAGTAGAGCGGGGATATTTTTGTGTCATAAGCATTAGTACAATCAGCCCTATAGATCAGCCATGCTGCACAACATACAGTAAGGTACAAAAAAATGGTACCACCATATGGCAGTTGTGAAGATCGAGAAGATTCACACCATCCATGAATTTATTGTAAATTATGCTTATTGTTGGACAACTTTCTCTTATAGCCATTTTGTCCCACCTTTTCACCCGTTTCAGCACATTTGCTGCTATTGAACCCATGAGAGTGTGGTTACCGCTCTATTGTCAACCCATGTGACTTGCAAACAGATCATCACTGTCATGGTGGCAGGTTTTCAGAATTGTGGAGCCACTTCCATTTCTTGCCAAGTCTTTATACGAAGACATTACTATTAGACCGTTACAGGGCCAATAGCTCCAATGCCTTGCTTCCTTAGAACTATCTGCAGTTCTATGAACGATGGAATTTAACTAATTGTCAAAATATACTTTGTGCCAAAGGTTTCTTGGAATATTGTTAATGTTTCCTCGTTGTCATTGACATTGCAATATTTGTATGCAGTAAAATTCAAAGCTATGAATCATTCCAGTTACAGACCAACACTAAAAATTGTGTAACCTCAAATTTTTTTTTTTTTTTTTCGATTTGTATTGTTTAAAGAAAATCTACCTCTGAAAGGCACCATTTGCTCAATTTTTCCATTGCAAGCTTGTAACTTTTCATTAGAAAAGCTGTCTGTGCAGTTTCGTTGTTATTGCTGCAGTGCATGTTTCCTTTGTTTTAGTGAAATCGTAATTTCACTCCTAACGTTAGTCGCCTTGTCTTAATGGCTTTAGGCATTTGGACTGTGCTCATAAAGAAAGCTCAAACAGCTCCAGTTCACTAGCATTGACACTGTATATGTTTGATTGTGTAACAAAAATATTCATTATTTGTTCATCAATAATTTCCCTAAAATAGTTTATAGGGTTTTGTGGTTCTTTTGCGACAGCCAGGGGAAACAGGCTCCTGAGGAACGATGTCTGCTGCATCTCTTTGGCGCCAAAGCGAATGTATCATCTAAAGATGTTTCGTTAGCTTCACTGTCTGATTAATATGTGACTGATATGTCACTGATATGGTTGAGTCTGACTGATATGTAGGTAACTCCGATATGCAGTTTACATTCTCCGCTAGGAATCTTGGTTTTATTCTGTCTAACAACATGTCTCTTGATAATCATATCTCTCAAACTTGTCGCTCTGCATACAACTCTACTAACCTGACTGATTCCCACCTCTGACCGAGGTTGTTAAATTGTATGTACAGAGCCATAGGCTGGGGTACCACGCTATATAAAACTAGTTATAATAATAATAATATGTGAGTCTGACTGATATGTGAGTCTGACTGATATGTGAGTCTGACTGATGTGGTTGAGTCTGAAAGGGCAAATTTAAATTATTATTTTTCAGTGTCAACTTTAACTTGGGTGTTAGATAATTGTTCTTTCAACAAATTTTAGAGATAAAATACAATTTTAAAAAGGAATCACTGTTGTGTTCTGGATTCAAAGTTACATCTATGTCATCTTCTGAAGATAGTTGAAGTTCACTATGATCCCAGTAATCAGGAATAGCACAAAATGCATATTTTTATTTTTTCCATAAAAGCGTGATTCATAATTGCTTGGATATTTGGATATTTGAATTCTAGACAAAAAACATCATGGGAAAATGATTCCACTGAAAAAAATAACATACAATATATGTATCTTGTATGAATTGTAAAATTAATCAAAAAATTTGATGCAAATATATAAAAGTAGGCTAACATAAATATTACAGACCTGTTTACTCTCACGATTTTGGCGTACAATGTACGATTTTGAGGTGTACACATTATATATACTGTATGTTTAATTTTTACTTTTTAGATAATGCATTGAACGATTTTGCGATGATAGTGTACGATTTTAAGAGTTTGAGGGTAAACTGGTCTGATATTAAATATTTCATTCATAAAACATTTTTCATATAGCCTATAAACTGGTTTACAAAAAAAAAAAAAAAAACAAAAAAAAAAAAGATAGTGTACGATTTTAAGAGTGTGAGGGGAAACGGGTCTGATATTAAATATTTCATTCATAAAACATTTTTCATATAGCCTAAAAACTGGTTTACAAAAAAAAAAAAAAAACACACAAAAAAAAACCACAAAATCTTTTCACCACATAGACGCACTGTTGCATTGGCAACGTAGCATTTTTTGTAACTGGTTTTCAAGCATTGCATACATAAAACATGTCTTAGGTCTTGACTCACATGTGTGTGTGTTTACTTTGACTTTTAAAAACAAAAACACCATTAGTGAATTTCTTATAAATGAAGAAAATTCATCTGTGAACTTGATTAGAGAACCAAGGCTCTTGTGGAGAAGCCAGTCCAGAACTTCTGGACAGACTAACACCATTATCGAATAGTTGCTATAAATGAAGAACATCCATCTGTGAACATGATCAGAGAACTGGACCAAGGCTCTTGGGGAGAAGCCAGTCAAGTAAGCATAATTTAGTTACTACAAAACTTAGTGGGCAAAGGAAATGCTTTTAATTTATTTTAAATTGTACTGTGTTGACCCTTAGTGGATGGATTAATGTTACTTGCAATTTTATCTTTTTAGAGAACGCTGGAGGCACTTGTGACACCCTACTATTGTGGCGGCACCTTACTCTTATATTACTCTTGTGAAACTTGATCTGGTGGTACTCTTGTTCTTGTATTAGTGTATTAAGTAAAGCAAAACAAATTGTTCCGGTACAAGAAAGATTAGTGACTATTAGCTTATAAATATATAAGCTTCTACAATATCTTAAATAGCTGATTATTTGCAACAGAAATTTTTAGGAATGGTCTCTGAAAACACATGCTTTATCCAGTCAACAGAAAGCAAATAAAAAGTTTAAGAGGGAAAAATATCCTGTTTACATCTGGTCAATGGCTTATACCAAACTTTGGACTGACCCACATCCCAATTTATTATTAGTAATTAGGTCAATTAAAATTGTTATTAATAAGCTGTAAAAAAATCAGAACTAATGTTCTCGCTGGCACATTGCCACGTTCATATCTGTAGATAACAAGATTTAGAGAGATTTCAATTGGTGCCATTTGCTGATTTTAACTCTTAACTGCATTTTGTGGTCCCACAGATCTGGAGTCCAGCATGCCAATCTATGACAAGACCAAAATGGCTTCTCCTGTTTTCATCTGTTGTCTGGTGCTTAGCCTCTGTGGCCTTTCATTTTGTAAGTTATCTTCAACGCAATTTTTGTATATTTTAGGCTATATATCAGCTCTTAATTATAAGAAATTTCACTTTAACTCACTGGTACCAATATTTAATATTCACAAAATAAATTAGAATATGGTTATTACAAAAAAAGTATTACTTTTTTTTTATTTTCGGAGTTGAACATTATTTTCATCTAATTTTTAAGTAAATTTAGTTTAGACATAGTTTACTTTGAAAGTTATGGAAGAGTTATAGTTATACCTCAGAATCTGTTTGAATTCACTCTTATATAGTCTTTCAAAACCTACATTTCCTTTGTAATATTGACAGTTGTAAGTATCTCTCAATTCTTCTCAACAGCTACCTGGGTCAGCTTCGACGCGACGCCAACCACTGTTCACCTGGGGCTTTCCAGGAGGCTCACCCTTCGCTGCGGTGTCCACCGAAATGCGCCTGCGGGTTTCACCGGTTCCATCAATGAGACGGCCTCCTTTACCACCGTCAACATTACTCACGTGATGTCCATAGTCATATCCCAGTGGAACGCTACGACCAAACAAAACAACACTATTGGCAATGTCACGCCCTTCGGTGACCTTGACATCACCCAACCGGAAGATCGGTTTTATGCGGAGGGCAACGCTGAGAAATCCCCGAACCCAGATGAAGTCGGCTACCTCCAGATTTCTTGGAAAATTCCGGTGGAGGAGCAGACGGGGAGTTACATGTGTGAGGTGTTCGCACTGAATAGAAATTTTCACCCCATTTCAATGGTTCGTGAAGTTGTGGTCAGTGGTGTAAATGCTACTCCCGTGGAACTTGCAAAACACATCGCATCGCTGCAGGACCGTGTTGACATGTTGGAAAACCAGACGGGGTCATGGGTCAATGTGACAGCCCTTGAGAAGAAGATTGAGTCCCTGGAGAATGAACTCCACAAGCTTGCCAACACTGAACCCATCATACCATCACCAAACTTCCAGACGGGTTTCTTCGAATGTAACATAGGGGAGCATGATGTCCGTGTTGAGTTCCCAAAACGGTTTCACGAGGTTCCAATTGTGTTCGCCAACACCTTGTACTATTCACAGTCTGAATCTGTATTGAGCAGTCTCCTCTCTGTCAACCACTGCAACGCTAATTTCCTGTGCAGGGCACGAGACCGTGGTTTCAATGTTTCGTGGATTGCAATAGGAAATATGTATGCTGGACCTGAGTTATCTCCATGCGAGTAATTGTCTTCTGTGATGTCATCCTCCTGCTGCAATTTTAGCCAAAAAAATTATATAAATATCCATTCTGACCAGAATTAGGGGCTGTCCTTATAGTTATAGTACGTCATACTGCGAAAAAGAGGTGGGGGGGGGGGGTTTAAAAACAATAGTGACAGTTTATAACGGGGGGGGGAGGGGGGAGTTAAAGATCTTGTGTGATAGATGTATTCTAATAGAAGATGTCACTTTTATAAATTTAATAGTACCAGTAAAGTGTCAAAATCTAATTTAAAATTAATTGTTTAAACTTTTATACCCCCCGGGGGGGTTAAAATTGTCCAAAAATACTTTATTGGCAGCGCCTTAATAAAAAACTGTGAGTTAAATACAACACAGGCAATTGTTTAATAAAGATGTGATTTATGATTGAGTTCTCCCTATTAACTTTATTAGAAGTATATCATTAGATTTTATTAAATAAAGTTGTTCACACATATACGGGTACATTTTTAATATCTGAATAACATCTGAAAATGTCCTTAAAAAAACTTGATTTTCCAAATAAGTTATTTAGGCCTAGCCTAATTAGTAATTCAAACTGCACTAAACATCAAACTTTATAGTAATGACTAACTAGGCATGTGACTAACTAGGCTGTGACTAACTAGACCTATGACTAACTAGGCCTATGACTAACTAGGCCAATGACTAACTAGGCCTATGACTAACTAGGCTTATGACTAACTAGGCCTATGACTGACTAGGCCAATGACTAACTAGGCCTATGACTGACTAGGCCAATGACTAACTAGGCCAATGACTAACTAGGCCTATGACTGACTAGGCCAATGACTAACTAGGCCAATGACTAACTAGGCCAATGACTAACTAGGCCAATGACTGACTAGGCCTATGACTGACTAGGCCAATGACTAACTAGGCCAATGACTAACTAGGCCAATGACTAACTAGGCCAATGACTAACTAGGCCAATGACTGACTAGGCCTATGACTAACTAGGCCAATGACTAACTAGGCCAATGACTAACTAGGCCAATGACTGACTAGGCCTATGACTGACTAGGCCAATGACTAACTAGGCCAATGACTAACTAGGCTTATGACTAACTAGGCCTATGACTGACTAGGCCAATGACTAACTAGGCCAATGACTAACTAGGCCTAGCTTGAATTATCAACTTTGAACCCACCCCCACTTTCTTTTTTTTCTTATTGAAAAGTATAAACTGACAAAGGGCAAATTTTAACTTCCAGTGTAAGTTACAATAAGTTAATAAGCATTTCACATTACAAATAATTGTCTTCTTTACTGCCTTCAAAAACAAACTGTCTGCCTGTTTTCGAAATTAGTCTTATTAAAAAAATAATTTTAATCTTCGTATTCTATTTTTTAATTTCATGTTCATGTTATCGGTAGGCACATCAGTGTGTCGTTCTGTTTGTTTTTCTTGTTGATAGTCTGGTCTAGGACTAGGAAAGAATCATTGTAGCACAAAGTAGGATAACTCCCAAAGAAACGTTCACTGCAATATAATTCCAAGTGGCCTGTGACACGGGCGACTCCCACAATCTCCACAAACATGCTCAAATAAACTACAAAAACTCATCCAGGTCTGTCACCACTATTCTTATCCTGAGTACGCTACTGTCAATTTTGCGCCTCTTTAGAGTTAACTCTTAACCCTATCAATAAAATACCAGGTACCACCAAAGCCCTTTGTGGCGCCCTAATTAAGCAATGGCGTCATTTCAGTTTTTTTCCGGGGGGGGGGGGGACCCAAAACTGGGGGGGGGGTGGGGGGGGGTGTGTGCATGTATTCTGTTACTCGGGTGACTCGATGGCCGAAGGGTCTAAACTGAGCAAACCTCAAGTCTGGCGTTCAATTCCAGCCAAAGGCCAGTCAAGCAAAAACAACACGAGACTCGTTAACCTTGGTCGGCAACTCATCTAAGAGAAGGAAACTCTGAATTCAAACCCGGAGTTGGAGCCCCGTAAGGCGCATACAATGACAATTCCTGCAACAGTACCCATCCCTGGTTTTGACTTATGTAATATTGCCGCTGGATATGGTGGGCCCGGACGAGAGAGTGACGTTGACGCCGCGCAACTCTTCCTCACTCCAAACAAAAATTACCCGCGCTAGTCATCAGACACCGAACGACTCAATGGTCAAACAATAATTTAAAAAAAACTGTTACTAGAAAACCCAGGAGAAATCCCCCCCCCCCCGCCTTTTTAACTACGCCTCTGAGGTAACACTAGTTCAATTAGTCATTTTAGTGTCACCCACTCTGATACCTCTGACGGTGCCGATTGGTGCTACTTATGGTGCAAACTGGTGCTATATTGTCCACGTCACCCTTTTACGCTACCCACTGTAATGGAAATAGGTGGAGGGGATGACTAGGTCTGGCAGCAGTAGCCGGCACTGGTCATATTTAAATACTTTTATAGTAAGTTCATATTAAAAACCATAAAGCTAAACCATAAAGCTCTTAAGTTTATAACAAAAGAAAAAACATTCATTTCTTGATCCACAATTTTAAATTTTATGGATGCACCTACTCAGTATAAAAAAATTAGTAGGCATAATCCTTGAATCAAAAATGGGAAACAGTGGCTTAGCTAGGGTAAGTGCCAACCGGGTCAAGATATTTGCCTTTTTTCCAAGGAAAAAATCCTTCTGGGGTCGTCCATTAATTATGTCAACAAATTATCTAAGATGTTTGACATTTGTTGACAAGGGGGGAGATGGGTTACAATAGTCGACGTCAACAATCATTTTTTCTCTTTTAAAATTTGTATCTTATAACTTGACTGGTTATTACATTACTTTAACAAATTTCATTAATGTATAATCTTTAGTTATATAAATTTTAACTTGTTGATTAGCAAACTAAAAATGCAATAAATTGTTTTTCCTACAATTTTGTGTTATTAAAATAGATCAGCACAAAGTAAAATGTATTTATATATTTAGATTTATAATAATAATTTTTTTAAAGGGGAGTGGGGCTATATAAGTGTTTACATATTTACTTCAAAGAAGGGGGGGGGGGTTAAAATTGCTTAAAATTGTATTTCTTTTTTTTTTTTTTTTTTTTTTTTNNNNTTTTTTTTTTTTTTTTTTTTTTTTTGCAGGCATTCGTCCGTCACAATATGACGACGGTGTGGACTTCGCAGGAAGAATTCCACAAGGCCTGGCATTATTCTTCTAGTTCTAGGATCATAACCTGGTTCCCAACAGCAAATCGCCTCTCTCCACGCCGCTGGATAAGCCCAAGGGAACATCATGTGGATGATACAGCTTGGCACCAGTGGCGTCGCATTGTTTCATTGTAACAATGTTATCCGCCTAAGGGGCTCCATCTCCGGGTTTTTAATTCAGAGGTTTCTTAGATGAGTTGTCATCCAAGTCCAAGGTTAACGAGTCCCATCCACCCGGCCTAGTGCTTGACTGGGCTTGGAACTCCAGACCATCAAATTGAGATTAGCTCAGTTTAGACCACTCGACCAACCTGCTTAAAAATTAAGAATTGTGGACATAATTAATGGAGGCCCCACTGCAGTTCGCCATAAATGCTGCCCCCCTCTGCAGTTGGCCATAAAAGCTGCCCCCCTCTGCAGTTGTCCGTAAATGCTGCCCCCTCTAAAGTTGGCCGTAAATGCTGCCCCCCTCTACAGTTGGCCATAAATGCTCCCCCCCTTCTCTACAGCTGGCCATAAATGCTGCCCCCCTCTACAGTTGGCCGTAAATGCTGCCCCCCTCTACAGTTGGCCATAAATGCTGCCCCCCTCTACAGTTGGCCATAAATGCTGCCCCCCTCTACAGTTGGCCATAAATGCTGCCCCCCTCTACAGTTGGCCATAAATGCTGCCCCCCTCTACAGTTGGCCATAAATGCTGCCCCCCTCTACAGTTGGCCATAAATGCTGCCCCCCTCTACAGTTGGCCATAAATGCTGCCCCCCTCTACAGTTGGCCATAAATGCTGCCCCCCTCTACAGTTGGCCATAAATGCTGCCCCCCTCTACAGTTGGCCATAAATGCTGCCCCCCTCTACAGTTGGCCATAAATGCTGCCCCCCTCTACAGTTGGCCATAAATGCTGCCCCCCTCTACAGTTGGCCATAAATGCTGCCCCCCTCTACAGTTGGCCATAAATGCTGCCCCCCTCTACAGTTGGCCATAAATGCTGCCCCCCTCTACAGTTGGCCATAAATGCTGCCCCCCTCTACAGTTGGCCATAAATGCTGCCCCCCTCTACAGTTGGCCATAAATGCTGCCCCCCTCTACAGTTGGCCATAAATGCTGCCCCCCTCTACAGTTGGCCATAAATGCTGCCCCCCTCTACAGTTGGCCATAAATGCTGCCCCCCTCTACAGTTGGCCATAAATGCTGCCCCCCTCTACAGTTGGCCATAAATGCTGCCCCCCTCTACAGTTGGCCATAAATGCTGCCCCCCTCTACAGTTGGCCATAAATGCTGCCCCCCTCTACAGTTGGCCATAAATGCTGCCCCCCTCTACAGTTGGCCATAAATGCTGCCCCCCTCTACAGTTGGCCATAAATGCTGCCCCCCTCTACAGTTGGCCATAAATGCTGCCCCCCTCTACAGTTGGCCATAAATGCTGCCCCCCTCTACAGTTGGCCATAAATGCTGCCCCCCTCTACAGTTGGCCATAAATGCTGCCCCCCTCTACAGTTGGCCATAAATGCTGCCCCCCTCTACAGTTGGCCATAAATGCTGCCCCCCTCTACAGTTGGCCATAAATGCTGCCCCCCTCTACAGTTGGCCATAAATGCTGCCCCCCTCTACAGTTGGCCATAAATG